GATTAGAAATTGCAGAGAAGCCAATGCCTGCTTGATGTAGAGAAATACTCCCTTTTAACAGGAGTTGTCCAAAAGTGCAATGTCTCTCCTTCATTAGAGATCTTCAAGCAGGGGATGGATGACTGATTTTCAAGGATTTTCTGCAGGGCTTTCCTGTTCAGGTCAAGACTACATATACCACATGGAGCCCCAAAACAGCTGTTCCTGCTTTCTGACCAGGAGCATATACTGCCTTTCACTTGGGCCTGCTATGAGGTCTTCCAGCTCACAGCAATAGGGCAGGCAGTTGAAAGTTATCCCTCCCCAGCTTCCTTTAAGATTCAGCTCAAATTTTGCCATTTACAGAAGGCTTTTTCTCATTTCTCTCTCTCAGTCTTTATGCCTTCCCTCTGAGATTACCTCTTGTCTACCATATCTATACATCCATATATATGTGCATATATACATGTGTATATCTATCATCTATCCATCCATCTATCTATATCCTGTATGTATATGTATAGTATAGAGTTGTTTAACGTTGTCTTTCTCACTTGAATGAGAATTCCTTGAGGGCAAAGACCATATTTTTTCCCTTCTTTGCATCCCCAGGACTTCGCACAGTGCCTGGAATATAGGAAGCATTTAAATGCTAGTAAGGACCAAATGAATATTTGTTAGGACCTCCAGGACCAGCCTTAAACACTATAATCACCTGGCTTCAAGATGAGAATTCACTGATACTCATTCCCCAATGGTTAGCATGCTGCTATTCCTTCCTACTCTCTCCAGCTCAGTGATATGGAGCCCTGATTGCCAAAGAACACCCTCCGCCCCCAGCTCCCTTATTCATCAACCCTATGTCCTTAATGTCCTACTCCATATCTGTCTACTCCTTCCACTGTGCTCTCTGGAATGCTTGCTCCATACTTAATACACCTCCTCTGATTAAGACCATTTTCTGTCTTGTTCTTTCCATCTTCTAGCATTTACTGAGCCCTGGTTCTCTTGAACTGACACTACATTCTTGGCCATTATTTCTAGTTCTGGCTGCACTTTTTTCTTTCAAACTCTTTGATTCAGTTGCAATAATGAAATTGCAATCCTTCTTACTCTCCATTGCTATTTTAAGACCTCCCAACAGCATCACTCAGCAACTTTTCCCATCTCTTCCTCTTAGAATCCCTGGCATCTTCAAGACTCAGTTCACATGCCATCTTCTGCATCATGCCTCTCAACAGTCCACCCAGCTACGAGTGACTTCTTCTCTAAGATTAACTTCCATTTACTCTAAATATGTAACTTGCATGTACCTAGATGTCCATGTTGTTTGCTCCATTAGAAGATGAGCTCTTAGAATGTGAGGGAAGAGGGGCAGCTAGGTGGTGCAGTGGATAGAGCACCAGCCCTGGACTCAGGAGGACCTGAGTTCAAATCCGGCCTGAGACACATCACACTTAGTAGCTGTGTGACCCTGGGCAAGTCACTTAACCCCACTGCCTAGCCCCCCCCAAAAAGAAGAAGAAGAAGAAGAAGATGAGGGAAGGAACTACTTTTATTCCCCTTTGTATTTTCAGTACTTAACCCAACGTGTGGCACATCATCAGTGTTTGATAAATGCCTACTGACTGAAGAACTCTGAAGGACTGTCCAGCTCTATAATTCCCAGATGCTTCTATCACCCAAGTGAATATCCTTCTAAAAGTTTCATCGGTGCTTAGAGTTTAGACCTCAAACACTTCAGTTTGGTCTTAACCATGAAGTTTCATTTGGAATACTTCACACTTGGTATAGGGCTAATCATATGGTGATTACATTAAAATTATACTTAATTAAGAATTCAAGATTTTTGAAAACAAATTCTAAAAGACACAGAGTAACTTTTTTTAAAAAAGAAAACAAAATGGCCCCCTCAAAGTTTATTCAAATTTATTATTTTCTTGTTCTGAGATATTATTTAGGGTTACTGACTTTTTTAGTACCCAGGGTGCAATTCATTCTATAACCCTGAATAAAATTCTCAATATCTGACTACCAAGTGCCCATAGACACCACTTCATATCTAATTCTTTGCCAATTTGCCTCAATTATGAGCTATATATGGCTCATGTATATGTATAACAAAAAAATCACTAATTAGAATTAATGATAGGAAGGTTCTTTCTGAATCACTTAGCCACTGCATCATATAATATCTACAAGGAATGTATTTTTATTATTTAAAAGTATACAAAAGAAATATAACCAGGCTAGCAAGGTGTCATCTAGTGAAGGTCCTTAGGAAGTCATTTTAGTGAACAGATGAGAGTCAAAATTAGGATATCATTTATTTATATGTAAATATACGTATCCATGCATGCCTCTAAAATTCTGAAATATTTTAAATATTGCCACTACAATTTTGTTTAAAAGATAAACACATCCAACATGATATTACCCTGATCAATATCATCTTTCGAAAACACTGTTAATACATTATTAGCAAACTCCAACGTAATGTTTGGAAATGTTATTTGGATAACAATTTGGTTTTTCTAAGATGATCTGAGTTAGCATTTGAATTCCAGTGATATTAAATCTCCTCAGCCCCCTGTAACATAACAAAATAAAAATATAAAATAAAAAATAAAAAAGCATCTTGTTTCATGGAACCAGTTGATGACATAAGATGAAGTATGTCTGTATTAATTTGCACTAAAAAAAAAAAAAAGGATGTGTTATCCAGAGGCTAGCTCAAGTTCACTTCTTGTCTGAATTCCAAATCTGTGGAAGGATGGCTTATTACATAGGATTTTTAATGACATCCATTTTGGTCATATCACTATGGCCTATACCGGTTGGGAAAACTCTTAAGTGAGGCAGTAAAATGTGCTCCACTTTGAGTTATTTTTAAAAAATTCATAATAAGGAATAGGGATAGGGAAACTCCCTCTATCACAGGTGAGTACCTTTTTTGTAACTGTAGTCCTAGAGAGTTGTCTACTGACTCACCCAGGGTTGCATAGCCAGTAAGAACAACGAGCAGCACTCGAACTCAGGTCTTTCAGGCTCTGTGGCCAGCTCTCTATTCACTATGCCATGCTATCTCTTTATTAAATATCTGAACATAAACATCAGCAAATGCTTTTAAAGGTGATGCTTCAGGAGAACATTTAAAGTAAACTAAATCTAAGCATCAACTTATCCTAAACTTCATCCCATATGAAAGACTAGATTAGACTGTCCCTTCATTATATTTCTATTTAATTTGGCTTTTTAAAAAATGTAGTTTATATATAAACAGTTTTACTCTAAATTTTGACTTGAAGGGGAACATCCTTGTTTAGTTTTGGAGTCAATTTTCCAGTGAAGCTCATCTTAAAAGGTATTTTACTACATGGACTGGACTATCATAAAAGATTATCAAAAGGGATGGAAAAAGCATTGGTTTCATGAAATCTAGGTTCAAGTCCTGGCTCTGCCATTTGCCATTTAGCAAGTCACTTTCCATCTGTAGGTCTCCGAGTTCTCATCTCTAAAATGGGGGGAGTGGACTTGTTAATATCTAGAGGCAGCTAGGTGGTTACAGAAGATAAGAATGATGGACCTGGACTCATAAAGACCGGAGTACAAATCCTATGACAGACATGTACTAACAGTGTGACCCCTAGGCAAGTCACTTAACCTCTATCTGTCTCAGTTTGCTCATCTGAAGAAATGGAGATAACAGTACACACTTCTCAGGGTTGTTGTAAGGATCAGATAATATTCGTGAAGCGTTTTGTAAACCATAAAGTGCTATATAATTGTTAGTTATAATAATAATAATAATAATAATATAATAATAATAATAATAATAATAATAATAATAATGACAAAAGGTCCCTTCCAGTTCTAATGTTCTTTGTTACACACTTTCAAATACCAAGGAACTTTTTTTTTCCTACCAAAATGAGTCAAATTCAATAATGTTTTTAGGATCAAAAGTATTATGTAAATTGAATTCCTATAAAATAAACTGCCATTCTGATAGGTCCATTCCAATCCACTGCTTCCTTTAAAAGTAACAACCAATCACCCAATATCAACTTCTTTCAACTTGGAAGTGTTCTGGCTAATTGTGAAAACACTTCATTGGAACAATCTCACATTTAAGCTGAAAATGAAACACAGGCCCAACTTCACCTAATCTAATATATATAAAATTTTTAATTTATACACTTTTGCAGACTCTTCTATTAAAGACTGAGTTATCTTCAACTAAATTCCAGAAAAAATGTATTGAGCACGCATTACATGCAAGACACTGAACCTTATGAGATAGGTGCTATCGATATGAGGATGAGGAAACAACCGCTCTTGCCATACAGAAACTGAAAGTCCAGTGGGGGAACCTATTCTGTGCACATCAACTTCCTCATCTATAAAAGGAGAATAATAATAACAGCAGCCGCCTCTCAGGGTGGTTGTGGGGATAAAATGAAATATTTGTAAAGCCCTTTGGAAACAAGTGCTATTGAAACACTATTATTATTATTGTTGTTGTGGTTGATGTTGTCAAGGTTCCTTCCAACTCTGAAATTCTGCTGTTTTATGACTAGATTTTCTGCCTAAGGTCCCTTCTATCCCTAGTTCCTATAATTCAGTCTTTGATCTTACCTACACTTGGCAAGGGCAGGTAAGCCTTTCACTGCCAGTAAGTGAGAGAAGAATGTTTGAAGGTAGCACATTGGCTGAAGCCAACATGTGTTTGGTGGTGGTAACTACCACCATCATGGCAGGATGTTACTATCACCTAAGCACTCCACTTCACTTTGTAGGCTAATGGAGTATTTTCACTTCAATTATTTCATTTCATCGATCAAAACATTTCCTAATCAATAGCCCTTCTTGTGCCGCTCTTCAGAGATATCTGCCTTCTTTTCCTGCACAACCTGAAACTCACAACAGTACAACAGGAATAAAAATAAAATGAATAACTGAAACTTTGTCTTCTCCATTCTGATTAAATATGAGAAATATACAAACTTCCAAATACTTACATCAATTAAATCCGAGAGGTCATGGATATAATACTTGAACACGGAGGCATTTGTTGCTTCTAGGGTTAGGAGATATTCATTTCGTGCTTTGATGGATTTTAATTTATTCTCTGAATACTTTGCCTGTCGCTGTGAATGAAGATATAGGAACTGAAGATGAAAAAAAGAAATCATAGCTTTTTTTTTTAAAGACAGAAAAATCTCTAGGAATTTTTATTAACCTAAACTGTATATCTAATATGTACAAATGCCTCAAAGTATTTAGAGAAAAGAACATTTCAAATTTGATTTATTGCAAGCCCACATTACCCCGACAACTGGGAATAACAGCTACACAGCTGGCCACAGGCCTGTGTGCAATGAAAACCTCTTAATTAATTTTCAAGTTCTCTACATCTGGAACAAAATATTTTGTATTCAACACAAAATGATGTCCAGCTGCTATTACATGATTTTTATGTTTCTAAAACAATTATCTCCTCCTGAGAGTAGAGACACAGCTTCAAAATAAAGGCCAAATATCTTCATGTTAGTTACTGCATCAGTGCCTTTTCGGACTCATAGATTTTCCACTGGAGCAGGTCTGAAATTCTTTGTGACCTACCTTCTCTTTCATTTTCTCAATCTTCTTCACAGAACTCCTCCTCTGATGTCTCTCTTCTAGTCGGATGTGAAAGACTGGGTCCCCGGACCGTCCAATTTGTTTTTCTTCCTGTTTTTCTGCTTCTTTTAATTTGCTCTCTGCACTGATGCTTTCTGCATGATACATGTGGTATGTTTTCATGACCTGTGGGGAAAAGGAGGCCAGAGAACGGTGAAAACATGACTGTGATTTAAATAGTGAATGAGAACAGCAAGGAAACGCATTAACAATAAAAACAAAACCAAAATCACTATTTTGGAGCAATCATATTTGTATAGATAGTGACAAATCTCATTTTCAGATAATATTGAAGGAAGTTAGTCTATATTAGTTCTAAACAAACAAATAAATGAATGAATGAATGACTAGAAAAAAACTGCTGAATTATTCTTGGGTCCAGACCTGTAATTGGATCCATGTACTGTGAGAAAATCTTTCCACTAATGCAGCTAAATGGCACACTGGATAGAATGCTGGGCTTCGAGTAAGGAACATCAGAGTACAAACTGAGCCTTAGACACTTCCTAGCCATGTTACCTGAGTAAGTCACTTACCTCTGTCTGCTTCCGTTTCCTCAGTTATGAAGTAGGGATGATAATAATAGCACTAGCCTCCCAGTGCTGTTGTGAGGATTAAATGAGATAATATCTGTAAAGTGCTTAGTATGGTACCTGGCACACAGTAGGTGCTACGTAAATGTTAGCTATCACTATTGTTGTTATTATTATTAATCTAACTCAGCCATTTTTCTGTAACTTAGGATCATAGATCAAGAGTAGGAAGGAACACTTATTAAAGGTTAGTCTAACTCTCAATTTAGAGATGAGGGACCTGAAGCTTAGGGAGATTAAGTGACTGCCTAAGGTTACAAAGGTATAAGTGAAAAAGTCTGAATTTGAACTCAACTCCAGTGACTTCAAGTCCATTACTTTAAGTTCAAAGCCTTTTCCACTGTACCACACAATCTGTCAAGAGTCACTTGGGTAATCAAAGAGCTGGTATAAACCAGAGGCTTATATTATATACAAACTTTGTGATTCCAAGAATGCCTCAATATACACTACATTACAAAGTCTTTGAACTGAATATCTGAATATCCCCTCCTACGTCTCTGATTGCCCCTTCTCTGTCTCCTGCAACAGCTCATTATCCATAACTTACCTCACGACTGCCACCCTCAATAGCTCATTATCTGTATCATGTTGCCTTCAATAGCTTATTATCCATATCATACTTCTGAAAAGTGGGTGTTACTCAAGGCTCCATCTAGGGACCTCTCTCTACACATTCTTTCAATGACTTCATTTTCTTCCATGGGCTTAATCATCATCTTTTTGCCAGTGACTCATAGATCTCTTTATCTAGGTCCAGACTCTCCCCTGAGCTTCAGACTCCCATCACCAATTTGCTTACTGGACATTTAGAACTGGATGTTCTGGAGATATCTCAAATTCACCACATCCCAAATAACACACATTATCTTTCACCACACTCTCCTTGACAGCAGGGATTGTTTTATTCTTTTTATTTGTCATCCATGGTCCCTGGACCAGTGCCTGGAATGCGTAGGTGCTTACAGCCTTCTTGTTAGTTGACTGATTGAAACGTAGCTTGCTACTTTGAATTATATACAGCAACAAGAGCTAAGCTCACATCTTGCCCAGCACGGCATGCTTTATGTATAGCAGCTCTTTAAATCTACTTTTTTTTTTAATTTAAAGAAATGGAATTGGAAAAAACAAACCCACGTCTTGATTTCTTTTTAATTAGGGGTGGGTTTGGTGTTCCCAGAGATGATTGTCAAATTTTCAGTGTGAGCATTAAACATGTGAAATTGGCAAATACTACCAAATCAGGGCTTGACTGTTTCGCTGATGTAAAAAACTGATGTAGAAAACCTGAATAATGTAGATTAAATTTAAAAGTGTACAGTATTTTGGTTGTTTTTTTTTTTTGAAGCCAGTTATTAAACACTCTGGGGGGAGGGGGAGAAAAAACAAATAGTTGTTAACTGAAAAATAAAATAAGTGTTAATTTAATCTTTTTAAAAGAAAAAAACCTACCTAGAAGAATACTTTGGGAACTAGGTTAGACTGATTAATTTATTATGTTAATGCTAATTATGACCATGGATATTAATGAGGAACATTAAAATGCTTGAAAACTGTATCTTCTTAAGTTTAAACTCCATCCCCTTCCCCGCCCCAATCTCATTCACATTACTAATTTACTTGGTCACTCATTTCTTCTTAGTCACTAGAAAGGCAAATTTCATGCCAGTTTGTTTCTGATTTGTCACAAATTCCAAATGAATAGAAAGCCTCATTAATTTAATTATATTACATAAGATTCTGCTTGTCAAAATGAGTTGGTATTTTACTTGAACAAGTACTGTGCAAATATTCAGGGGAAACAAAGTCCTAGTACATTAATAAGTTTTGGAGCCTTAAAGTTTAATTTCCTTATCTCACCACCATTCTGGTGAAATTTTTTCCCCCCTGTTTACAGTCATTAGGCTCAGACTAAAATAAAGAAAGAATGGCAAAGGGAAACTTAGCATTTATAGATACTGTACTGCTTCATGAATTCGTCATTATGGGGAATTTGACCACCTAAACAAATTTAAAACCTCTAATTCCATGTCTGAGAATATAAGTACCTAGTAGCCACTTCTATGGTAATCAGTTTCTCCAAACACAGCTAGGCTGGAATTTGGAAAACTGATAAACAGAGCATTATTGATACTCAATCCTCTTCTAGCTTGGGTAGAAAACTAGCTTCAGCCTTGCTCCATGGGCACAGCCTTTCAGCAAGGAGCCCAGCTCACATCCAGCCCACAATGAGGGATCAGAGAAACCTTTGGGCAGAGTTTCGATATATTGAACATTTACAGAGGAAATACTGACCATAAAGACCTCAGAATGTGTCAATAAAAAATACCAAAATGTTTCCTCACTATCTTAGATTAAATAGGAAAATAATCTTTCTCTTCTCAGTCTCAGTTTCTAGAAAAAAGGGGAAAGGAGAGATAATTTAATAATCATCTACATCTCTGAAAACTACGACCAAACAAAGTCTGGCTACTATATTTCAACATCATAAAAGAAAACTGCCTGGAGCTATGAGTATCAGAGGTTAAAGTGAAATCAGAAAGATTGCCTCCTGAAAGAAACCTGAAAATGAACATTCCCAGGCATGCCATAAGCCGAAATCCTGAGCTTGCTTATCCATGAAAAAAATACTGCAAGAAGCCAGAAAGAAAGAATGCAAGCACCAAGAAACATGTCACAATAGACAAGCCTTGTTTGGTGCTACTGACAAAAAGGAGGGGAAATCTTATGATATTCCAAAACCAAGAATAATTTACCCTGAATATAATCCTATAAGAGAAAAAAAAGATGGAATTTTAATATAATAGAGAAGTTTCAAGCACTTGCATTTATATAGCACTTTATACAAAGCATTTTTATGTATGTTAACTCAGTTAATCCTCCCAACCAGCCTTGGAAGTAGGTGCTATTATGTCCATTTTACAGATAAGGAAACTAAGGCACAGAGAAATTAAGTGATTTTCTTTGGGTCACTCCCCTAGTAAGTATCTGAGGCAAGGATGGAACTCATCAGGTCTTCCTGACTCCAAACCTTTGTTCTATCCACTATGTCCCTTAGTTGCTGAAGAGGAGGGCCCAGTAGATACCTGGAAAGGTAAATACATCTGACCAGCTAGAAGAGGTTGGACAATGATGACATGATTACAATCTAATAGAGCAAAAAGATAAATAGTCCTTTAGAATCTTAATGTCTTCAAGGGTTACAGAGGGAGTCAAATACAGGGTGTTACAAAAGTCTTAGTACAGCTTTTAAGCTTTAATAACTCCAGAAACATAAATGCTAAAAACTTACTTGGACAGCTATTTAAATTTTTCAAATATGGATATGTTTCTTACTAAAATTCAATTTAATCACCATTTTCAGAAAGAAAGGATTACATTTGCAACCCTAGACTTAAAGTCATAGAAAATGACAGGTTTTGATGTATTCACAACACAGACAGGTGTCTACATCAGGATCTCAAAGAAGGTAAGAATAAAAGTAAATAAGGTCAGAAAAGATAAACAGGGAAAATGCATTGTGCTTAAAAAAAACACAGACAAGGAAATAATATCATTACCTAATACATATGCATCTATTGCAATAGCATTTAAGTATTTAAATTAAAGGTGAATTGAATTATAGGGAAGAAGAGCCAGAAAAACTATAATCGCTGGGGACCTCAATGTATCCTTTCAGACCTAGTCAAGTTGAACAAATGACAAACAAGAAAGAAATTCAGTACCTACACAGAATTTTAGAAAGCTTAGATATAATAATCTCAGCAAATGATTGAACAGGAACAAAAAGTGGTATGACTATTTCTCAGGTATATGTGACACTCTTACAGAAACCTGAAGACTGGCTGGGGAAGCACAAAACCTCTTAAATAAATACTGAAAAGCCATATCTAAACACCTCATCTGAATGCAAATTCCTTGAGGGGCAGGGACAATATATTATTTTACCTTTGCATCCCCCAATTCCTAATACAGTGCATTAAACATAATTGGAGCTGAAAAATGATTATCGAATAAGACTGAGCAGAATTCCCAAATATACATAAGAAGAATGTGGTAGCAATGGAAGATTGTACTTTCCCCCACCTTTTTAAAAAGTCCTTCAATTGTTTTCAAATTCAATTCAACTAAATTCAACAAACATTTATTGAACAGAGACTGGTTTTGCCTCTCTTCGTATTCCTGTTGCTTAATGCAATGCCTGGCACATAGTAGGCACTTAATAAACGTATGTTGCCTTTGACCTGACTTGACTAAATATCTACTATTTCTCAGAGGATGGGTCTGAAAAGATTAAAAAATGACACTGTCACTGCCCTCAAGGAACTTAAAATCCAGTAAGACTGCACCAATAAATACGAAAAGTAGGATAAAGGAAAATGGAGTTACACAGTTAAGAGTGTGGATACTTGGCTGGAGTCAGGAAGAACTGAGTTTGAATTCTGCCTGACACTTACTAGCTGTATATCTTTATGCGAAACATTTAATCTCTGTATGCCTCAGTTTCCTCCTCTGTAAAACAAGGATAATAAC